ACGACCCAGTCCACACACCCAACATCTGGCTCTTGGGATGTGGAACGTCACCTCACTGGGGGGGAAGGAGCCCGAGCTTGTGGGGGAGGTTGAGCGATACCGACTAGAGATAGTCGGCCTCACCTCCACACACAGCTTGGGCTCTGGAACCCAACTCCTTGAGAGGGATTGGACGCTCCACTTTTCTGGTGTTTCCCGCGGGGAGAGGCGGCGAGCTGGGGTGGCCATACTCATTGCCCCCCATCTCAGCCGCCACGTGTTGGAGTTCTCCCCGGTGAATGAGAGGGTCGCGTCCCTCCGCCTCCGGGTGGGGGACAAGTCTCTCACTGTTGTGACGGCCTACGGGCCTAACGGTAGTGCAGAGTACCCGGCCTTCTTGGAGTCCTTGGGAGGGGTACTGGACAGTGCACCGCCCGGGGACTCCGTTATTCTCCTGGGGGACTTCAACGCCCATGTGGGAAATGCCAGTGACACTTGGAGAGGGGTGATCGGGAAGAACGGCCCCCCTGATCTGAACCCGAGCGGTGTTCAGTTGTTGGACTTCTGTGCCAGTCACGGCCTGTCCATCACGAACACCATGTTCGAGCACAAGGGTGTCCATCAGTGCACGTGGCACCAGGACACCCTAGGCCGGAGGTCGATGATTGACTTTGTAGTCGTATCATCTGACCTTCGACCGCGTGTCTCGGACACTCGGGTGAAGAGAGGGGCGGAGCTGTCAACCGATCATCACCTGGTCATGAGTTGGATCCGCTGGCAGGGGAAGAAGCCGGTCAGACCTGGCAGGCCCAAGCGTGTAGTGAGGGTTTGCTGGGAACGTCTTGCTGAGCCCCCTGTCAGACGGAATTTCAACTCACACCTCCGGGAGAGCTTCTCCCAGGTCCCGGCAGAGGAGGGGGACATCGAGTCCGAGTGGACCATGTTCTCTTCCTCTATCGCCAATGCGGCGGCTCGTAGCTGTGGTCGCAAGGTCTCTGGTGCTGGTCCCGGCGGCAATCCCCGAACCCGGTGGTGGACGCCGGCAGTAAGGGATGCCGTCAGGCTGAAGAAGGAGTCCTATCGAGCAATGATGGTTCGTGGGACTCCTGAGGCAGCTGTCCAGTACCGGCAGGCCAAACATGCCGCGGCCCGGGCTGTTGCAGAGGCAAAAACCCGGGACTGGGAGGAGTTCGGAGAGTCCATGGAGCATGACTATCAGTCGGCCTCGAAGAGGTTCTGGCAAACTGTCCGGCGCCTCAGGAGGGGGAAGCAGTTCTTTGCCAACACCGTGTATGGTGCTGGTGGAGGGCTGCTGACCTCAACTGGGGATATTGTCGGGCGGTGGAAGGAATACTTCGAGGTTCTCCTCAATCCCCCCGTCACGTCCTCCGTCCAGGAGGCAGAGGCTGAGGATGTTGGGGCGGATACTTCCATCTCCCTGGCCGAGGTCACCAAGGTGGTTGGCAGCCTCCATGGTGGCAAGGCGCCGGGAGTGGATGAGATCCGTCCTGACTATCTAAAGTCTCTGGATGTTGTAGGACTGTCTTGGCTGACACGTCTCTGCAACATCGCGTGGCGATCGGGGGCGGTGCCAATGGAGTGGCAGACCGGGGTGGTGGTCCCTCTCTACAAGAAGGGGGACCGGAGGGTGTGTTCCAATTATCGTGGTATCACACTCCTCAGCCTCCCCGGTAAGGTCTACTCCAAGGTACTGAAGAGGAGGCTACGTCCGATGGTCGAATCTCGGATTCAGGAGGAGCAGTGTGGTTTTCGTCCCGGTCGCGGAACACTGGACCAGCTCTATACTCTCCATCGGATACTCGAGGGTTCATGGGAGTTCGCCCAACCTGTCCACATGTGCTTTGTGGATTTGGAGAAGGCGGTCGACCGTGTTCCCCGGGGTGTCCTTTGGGGGGTCCTCCGGGAGTACGGGGTCCGGGGTCCTCTGCTGAGGGCTGTTCGGTCCCTGTATGACCGGAGCCAGAGCTGTGTTCGCATTGCCGGCAGTAAGTCAGACCTGTTCCCGGTGCATGTTGGCCTCCGCCAAGGCTGCCCTTTGTCACCGGTTCTGTTCACTGTATTTATGGACAGAATCTCTAGGCGCAGCCAGGGGCCGGAGGGGGTCCGGTTCGGGAACCACAGGATTTCATCTCTACTTTTTGCGGATGATGTCGCCCTGCTTGCTCCAACGAACCAGGACCTGCAACATGCACTGGGACGGTTTGCAGCCGAGTGTGAAGCGGCTGGGATAGGAATCAGCACCTCCAAATCCGAGGCCATGGTGCTCGACCGGAAAAAGGTGCCTTGCCCTCTTCAGGTGGGTGGAGAGGTCCTTCCTCAAGTGGAGGAGTTCAAGTATCTCGCGGTCTTGTTCACGAGTGAGGGGAGGATGGAGCGTGAGATTGACAGGCGGATCGGTGCAGCGTGCGCAGTGATGCGGTCGCTGTATCGGACCGTTGTGGTAAAGAGGGAGCTGAGCCGAAAGGCAAGGCTCTCAATTTACCGGTCAATCTTCGTTCCCTCCCTCACCTATGGTCATGAGCTGTGGGTAATGACCGAAAGAACGAGATCGCGGATACAAGCGGTCAAAATGAGCTTCCTCCGCAGAGTGGCTGGGCGCTCCCTTAGAGATAGGGTGAGGAGCTCGGTCACACGGGAGGAGCTCGGAGTAGAGCCGCTGCTTCTCCACGTCGAGAGGAACCAGTTGAGGTGGCTCGGGCATCTGTTCAGGATGCCTCCTGGACGCCTTCCTGGGGAGGTGTTCCGGGCACGTCCCACCGGGAGGAGGCCCCGGGGAAGACCCAGGACACGCTGGAGAGACTATGTCTCTCAGCTGGCCTGGGAACGCCTTGGGGTCCCCCCGGACGAGCTGGAGGAGGTGTGTGTGGATAGGGAAGTCTGGGCGTCTTTGCTTAGACTGCTGCCCCCGCGACCCGGCAACGGATAAAGCGGAAGAAAATGGATGGATGGATGGATAGTAATCATCCCGCTATGGACCTGACTCCTATGTGTTTATTATTATTGCATTTCCTGTGTACAAACAGTTTGATTATCTAATCTGTTTTTGAGAAACCAAAAACAACTTTGTGAATCCTCTGAGTTGACTGTTGTGATTCAAGCATATACAAAAACAAGTTAAATTTAATCGAATTGAACTGAAAGCACAATTCGTATGTATTAGTTTTTGGATTATCTGAGGCCTTTGCAAGCTGGGCACACAAACTCAAACTGCAGCACTTGTTTGATAATAGTGGTGAGCCTGCAGAGGTCCTGACCGGTCTTATCGTGGACATCTATCCTCCGTGTGCGTACGTCCTGAATGCAGTCTGCTCAGCCCTGTATCGCGTGTCGCCCAAAATAATGGCCACATCCCCGGAACGGGCGCTCTGCTGGGAACCCTGTCTGAAGACGGGGACAGTGGAGGATCAATGCACCCAAATCACCATTGTCATTTCCACACAAAGTAATTCAAGTATGTGAGGGAGGTACTTCAACCATAATCATAAGGTGATAGAATAAAGCTTTTGTTATCGTTGAGGATCATCTGAGAAGGCATGATATTGAAAGATTTTAAGTGAAATTAAGATGACAAAGTGACCACTCACACTTGAAATGATTTACTGTCATTGTTACGGAAAAAGACAAAACATGAGAAGATAACATTTTAGGAAAATAACAAAAGATGCGTTCACATGGGTTTTTCCCAAGACAAAAATCTCAATATTTGCGACAGCGCCAGTTTATAAGTTTACTTAAACCTTCAGATAACCTAAACATTAAGTGGAAAAGTGCTGATTAAGGCAGACTTTTGCAGCTTAGTTTCAACATAATTGCACATAAATCCATCTATATTCCTCCCTTAGGTCAGACTATCATATCTCATCATCATATTATTTCAACAAACATGTACAGATCTTTCACAAAACAACAATGAAAGATCCGTACAAGATGTAAGAAGGAGACCAAACTCCTTCATAGGTCTATTGCGTGGTTTTCCCATGTTGCTTGGAAAACAGGCTCTCACACTTTCTGATCAGTGCGTCCGTTTTTTTAAAATCAATTGCAGAGTCTGCTGGTGGTTTCTCATCCGACAGAGCAAAATTGATACATTTACATTTGAAATATTAACCCCCTTCATAATTAGCAGGTCAAGAGTGTGCCCTCTGCTCTGGGCAGGACCACTCACATGATGAATGAGAAGTTTAAAGTATGGAACTCAGCTTTTTTCCAGTTCTGTCATTAACATTCTACTGTATACTTGAGGTGGAGGTTTTGGGTGTTGGACGAGGTGAAGGTGGATGTGAGTTGGTATTGGGTTAGGGGAGGGGATCTCTTAGGCGGAGGTTTTAGGTGTTGGAAGGTGTCATCCACGATAGCACATCCGTGTTAGTGATTGTGGGTTAGGGGAGGGGTGGGCTTAGGCGGAGGTTTTGGGTGTTGGACGAGGTGGAGAAGGATGTGCGTTATTGGGTTGGGGGGGGGTGGGGGGTTACTGAGGTGAGTATGCTGCCACTGCTGATGATGCTGCAGGAAAATCAAGTGGAAAAGTACTGACTTCTGTTGAATCTGTTGCAATGACCAGCTCAGTTTGAGCAATAAAGTGTTATAAAAGATCCAGACGGTGGCACGGTGGTTGAGTGGATAGCACTCTCTCGCTTCTCAGCAAGAAGGTCTTGTGTTTGAATCCTGGTCGGAACAAGGCCTTTCTGGGTGGATTGCAGAATCTCCTCGTGTCTGCGTAGGTTTCCTCCGGGTGCTCCGGTTTCGTTTCCCCTGCCACTAAAAACATGTAAAATAAGTCTGGCATGCGCCTCCTGTACTGGGGACCCCACTCTCTGTGTGGAATGAGAGAGATTTGTAAACCACTTTGTGACTCTGGTCTGTGAAAGGCGGTATATAAATAAAGATCACTTGCTTACTTACTTACTTAGACAATCTCAAAATCAAGTTTTAACATCAAAAACACAAATAATGCATCATCTGTGTTTTTTTAACCACAGTTTGTCCCTCTTTCTGTTTAGGGTGACTCTGGGGGGCCCCTGGTGTGCGACTCCCAGCTCTTTGGTCTCGTGTCTTGGGGCCAGTCTTGTGGAGAGGCCCGGTTCCCAGGAGTCTACACGGCAGTCTCCAAATACAAGCACTGGATTGAAGACACAATCTCCCACCGGCCCTGCCCCACGCCCACTTGAAGCCCACCCACGTCATAAGAGACACACACATCTTTGAGCTTTTAAATACGTTACAACGTCGTTCCAGTTCAATCAAGTTGATGAACTTGATTGATGAACAGATATCAATATCTGGAACAAACATGTACCTTCTGTCTTATAACTTCTGTCTCAGTCCTGTGATAGTATGATGTCATCACCTAATCCTTTTTTTTTGCCTTAAGCCCTCGCCGAAAAACCAAGGCTGTGTCGTCTATGACGTAGAAGCCATCCTCCTATGGACTCACCACCTGCTGTGAAAACTGGGTTCCAGCTATAAATAAGATAAGATTAGATATTCCTTTATTCGTCTCACAGTAGAGACATTTCAGTGTCATTGTTGTGCACTTTACAGCAGAGAAAGAAGGACATAAAAGCACTCAGATTGCATACATCAAACAGTCTATTATTTAAGATAATAGACAATATATTTAAAATAAGATAATACGATGATAAAATAAAATAAAATAAACTCTGGAGTTATAATTTCACTTGGTTTAGAAGTATTTACAGATGTGTATGTTGTACTTTAGCAGCGGAGAAAATGAGCCAAATAAACATCAGTAATAATTTCAACAGGTAAAGTGACTAGTGAATGGCAGAAATGTCACCCCCCCCCCCCCCCCCCCCCCCATCCCGGAAATGGACTAACAAGATGAAAATGTATGAATTAAGGAACATTTCAATTCCTCCCTCTGGTGATACCACAGGGAGTTACGCTAGGCAAAATCATCCAGCTCTGGTCCTGACCCAGAGCATCAACATGTGGAGATGGGCCCCCAGACGCTACTGCCACCACTGCTCCTGACAGAAAATATAAATTCTTGCTTCAATTTTCATCTTGTTCCCGACGCATCAGTATGTGTCAGGAATCTTGTTTGAGGAGACAAATGCGTATTTTCTTCATCTTCAACACACAGCATTTCAGATGATGACGAACCTCGGCGGCTGAGTGGTTTGCACTCATTGACACGTTCCTCCCACATGTGTCTGAGACGGATTCCTCTCAAATACTTCACCCAAAATCATGCACCATAAAATCCTCCAGCTCTGGTTGTTCAAGACATCCACATCTGGTGCCGCTGAATTATGGTTTCAAATGCAGTTGATGAAAAACCCTTACTGTAATTATGAACAGAGAGTAAGAAGAAAGTAGTTTGTCTGATGAAGAGTCAATGCATAGAACAGGGCTGTCAAACCACTAATACCTGTGCCACTTATATAGATAACCCTTTAACCCTAATCCTCACCCCCCTAACCCCAACCCTATGTCTGACTGGACACACACATCACCAAAGCGACTCCAATGCTGAAGCTTCACCTTTAATGTAATTGAAAATCAAAATGTTTTTACTTGGAAAGTTGATATATATTTTTCTATGCTGCTTTGAATGCTTGATGTACTTTGTGAAATTTATTTATTTTTGAGACTTTTTGAAAGAAACATGTTTTTGTTTTTTATTGGTGTTTTTGTTGTTTTGAAATAAAAGTGTTGAAATATTTACTGATAACATGTTTGAGTTATTCTTCATCACAAAAACATTGGACGTGATGGAGTACAAGATGATCAGAATGAGAAAGCTCCCATCTAATGTTAGAAGTGAGATATTATACCCTACTATTATCAACATCAGCCAACCAACATTTATTTATATAGCGCAATTTTTCAGTACAAACACATTATTTCTACCATGGAACAGTCAAGCTGCAGGCACAGTTACAAATGAAAGAAATTCCCAAAACTCACAAAAAGCCATAAAACGGCTCTTTCTATGATGTCACAGTCTGAGTTTGAGAACAGAACATTTAGATAGAAGTTACGGGGGACTTGTCTTTGTGCCAGAATTTCCAGATTTGTATAAATATATATATATATAATTTTTTTACTTAAATGAAAGTGTGCCATTGTTCGAGTCCACGATAAGACCTACTTCACGACTCCCACTGATGACTGCTGTCGTTGTGTCCTTGAGCAAGACACTTAACCCCACTTTGCCTGAAGACCCTGCTGAAAGATCTCAGCTCCTGTGGACTCACCACCTACAGGAGGATCAGTGAGAGGCTGGTGCTCTGTGTACTGGGTGCAGGTCTGACTGCCACCCCCCCCCCGCCCCCCCCAGACCCAGAATTGGATAAAGGGGAAGAAAATGGATGGATGTCAGTGTCTTCATCAGGCAGTACATAAACAGACATTATCAAACAGACTGCACAGTTTATGATAGAAAGAACAATAATACAGGAAGTACCTTTCATTGTCACACAGCTTCCTCCTCTGGGACTGAGTGAAAGGGTGCTCACACTGACCTCCTCTCAAGGTTTCATTTTGATTTGTAAAATATATCACTGGCCCATTTCCTTTTGTGGGTCAAAGCTCAAATTCCTGATTTGCCAGAAGCGAAAAGTGAACTTATTCCAGATAATAAACAGGGGATCTACCTCCTTAAAAATGGTCTATATCAGTCCAAGTGCATTTATGAAACAAACTTCAGTTAAATACATATGTTTAGTCTTGTAACCCCGGTTAGCCCTTTAACAATAATAATAATGCATCAGTTTTATGTAGCGCTTTTTGGACACTCAGAGACACAATCCATGTTATTATTCTTTCACTCCATACTACTGTAGCCACAGCTGCCCTGGGGCACACTGACAGAAGCGAGGCAACCAGTATGTGCCATCGGCCCCTCCGACCATCACCAACCATTCACTCACACACCAGACTCATTCTAGGCAATGGGGGTGAAGTGTTTTGCCACTGATGACAGCAGACATCAGTGGGAATCGGTGGAGAAAATCTTGTGGTGGACTCGAACCCATGACCTTCAGGCTCAAAGACCAATACTCTACCAACCGAATCACTGTCGCCCCGGTTAATGGTTTCTTCAATCGTTTGGTTGCATCACTTTTTGAGTCACTACTGTATATCTTGAAGCAAAATTGGAACTCATTGGGCCATCTAAATCGCTTGGTTTTAGGCACTTTTACCTTTTACCCCACTGCATCTCAACCGTTTGGTAAAAGCCTATAATTAAATAAAACTTTAGAGTCAAAAAGAATCTTTGTGTTATTAGTGTTCCTACATCTTAGGGAGGAGTGAACATTAAAAGGTTAGCAGCTTTTTGTGTGCACCTAAATAGTACAGCAGATCTTTAAGTTTGACACAATCCTGTCTTCTCGGTTGTAAAAAGCCGCCACAGGTCCAAACAACATGCCAACCTTTCCCACTGTTGTCCCGGGTCGTCTCAGGTCGTCACATTTCAACACGGGTCAAAAATATGGCCCAGTTTTTCAGCAGAGACTCCAGCTCCATAGTCCAGCCTCACATTTGTGGACTGATACATTGATTATTTGAGTCTCTTTTAGCCGATGTCACATGACTAACCATGAACTTCTTACCCTACTTCGTAATCTCCGGGGGGACTGGGTGTGACTCCTTTGTCCATAGACTTCGGCGAATAAAAGCGTTGGCCGCCGGCTCCTCTTACCTCTCGGCTTTCAGCACATTGTCTTAGTTCGGCGAGTCCAGTGAGAAAGTGCCATCTCCCGCTGAGAAAAGCCATGATTTGTGTATATGTTGTGAAAGGCAATCTCTGGACCCTATAGAACCCCGGATTCTATGTAAACAACATGGAAGCACAAAGCAGAGACAGGGATTAGAGAAACAAAAGTGGAAACGTGTCTGATGGGACCCTGCTTTGGTTTCAGCCTGTGAGCTAAAAGTACATAATAGACTTTCAAGGTTAATTGTGATAGAACTGGACTGATTCTGGAAAGGACTGGACTAAGATTTTTCGGACAAATATCATAATGTATAGAGATTTTAAAGGACAAAGAGATTTAAACTATGTCACATCTTATAACTCAGAATTCTTTTACTGCCATTGTGATTAACAGGATGTCACATACTAGGAAATTGCTTTGTCTCTCGGTGCAAAAAAGTTATACAAAAGTCCTTTCTACTGGACAACATTGTGCATGTTTTTAAATATTGTCACCACTTAATATAATGAGACCATAGTTGAAAGAGAGATTAGCGAGAGAGGGAGAGAGCGGAGAGATCAGAGAGACACCAAAGGAAGATCAGAGAGACATCAGAGACACCCGAGAGACCAGGAGGGACCAGAGCGAGACCAGACAGAGATCAGAGAAAGACCAGAGAGAGAAATGTCCAACTTTGTGACAGTTATTGTTTCCTGTGGATTGGCTTAGGAATAACTGAAACATTAGCTAAAACTAAAACTTTTTTCCAGTTACCACAGTTGCCAGGAAAAGCATTTCAGCTGCCCACCACCACAGAGTTAAACTATAGGCTCTTTGGAATGTTGTGACGTCACATGAACTCAACCTATTCTACCCACACAACTGTTGAATTGTGGTTTACTGTTGAAAAAGCTTGTTGCAAACGTTAATAAAAACACTATAATAAGGTCAAGACTTATTTAACCCGACCGCACTTGTGTATTTTCATTCCAGTTTTTCTACGTTGAGTGGTCTGGTTTTACGAACAATCTTACCGAAGGTTAAATTACACTTTCATCCACATTATTCTCATATATAGTCTTACATTTAAAACTGAGATACCAAACATTATTGTCCCATAATCAATCACTTTTTCTTGTCTTGTAAAAGTAAAAGTTGTGCTGTCTTCATGTTATTAGAAAAGTTTTGTGTAAGTACAGAAGAAGTACAGCCATTTGAACCAACTCGGACTCTGAGGAGCACAGGGACTGGCCTCCTGCTGGTGCCTAGAGTCAGGAATAAACATGGGGAGGCAACGTTTCAGGTTGATGCAGCTAAAAACAGTTTTCTTTAAATTGTTCATTTCCAAGTTGAAAACTGTTCTGTTCTGCTGTGCATATCTGTGATTATTACTTTAATATGATCAGCGCTACACACATACTGTAAACTTGCATTTCCCATATAACTCTTTGGGTTGAGAGCTGATTGGCTGAGTGAGGGCGGTCCGTTTTATTTTTCCTTTTCTGTCTAAAAAAATGTATCTGTTGATGTGACAGGGGCCAGAAATACATGTATGTGAAAACTAGTAATAGAAGCAAACTGTTTTGAGAGCGAAGAAATTATAGTTAGATGGCTTGTATAACACGGTAGTGGTTTGAAAGTTACGTACACCAGCTTAAAACACAGCACACATCACGTATCCTTTCGCTGTGCCTCATCATTTAAAACACGAAAACATCGCCCTCTTGTGGCCACTCGCGCTCTCTCAGCCGCGTCCCCAGTGTCTCCCCCTGTTCTCTTCGCTTCAATTAACCACCACATCCTGCTCCCTCCAGCTCTGCCCTCACTCTGAAACCTCCTCAACATCCCACGAACCCCCCGTGTGCGTCCACCATCCATCCTCATCTTTACGCACCACAAAAACCTCTCCACTCGTCCGCGCGCACCGGCAGGAAGATCCCACGCGTGCGTCTCTGCGCGCGCGTTGCCGCTTCCACCGCGTCTGCCGCATTGCCCTGCGCTCCTGCCGCTCCCTCACCGCGCCGCGCAGACCCGTGTTTTGCATCGCGACTCGATTTGCATTCGGGTTTTTTTACCACCTCTTTTTCTTCACGCAGCAGCCTCTCTCCAAACGCATATCCCATCACAACCCGATCCACCACTAGGCAAAACAGAAGCTGGGGGTTGTGTTTTTTATTTATTTAACGCACTATAGTGTTTTTGATCTCTCCGAACGATGCTGCGTGGACTGGGAAGACATTTTTAATTCCGCTTGTTTCTTTCTCTGCACATCTCCACGTGTGTTTCGCTTTTTTTACGCACGGGCTCAAACACAGGGCGAATCTCCCCGTGTGTCTTTTTGCTTGAACGCTCCTGCTGATCTTGGGGAGATGTCGGAAGTGCTGCCATTCAACGAGGAGAAAATGAGTCACTACGAAGGCGAAGAGGGGCATCTGTCGTTCACCTGTCGCCTGCAAGACACCAACAACTTCCTCTGTGGGAACCAGAGCAAGCGCCCGCCAAAGCTGGGCCAGATAGGCAGAAGCAAACGGGGTAATTACATCCGTGCTTTATGCTTGTTTGGACCGTGTTGCATGCGCACTGCAATTACAGGCAACCTTGTTATTATGGGGATCACGACGCGCGCTCTAGTACAAAGGAGGAGGGAATGACCTGTGGGGATGGAGAGAAAAGTGTCGTCTCCCACAATTGTATTCCTAATTTGCATTCACGGGGGGTTTTCTGCCGTTCGTGTCTGCATCAATGGGTTTTTTGGTTGTGTTGTTTTGACAGATTCTGTGCTTGTGTGTGTGTGTGTATGTGTGTGTGTGTATGTGTGTGCATGTGTTGAGAGATGGTATCTGCTTTCGTTTATCATTCTTCTCATGCAATCACCGCCTTTTATATAACGTCTACCAGGTCCTGAAATGGTCATTCCCAAAGAAAGCTGTGTGAGATAGTGAGTTATTAGGCTGGATTCAAGATGAAACCAGGGTGTAATCGTGTGTGTGATGTTGCTTTGTCTTCACATGATTTCTGCATCAGTAGATTTGATCATCACGTGTAGATCCGTTTGACATGCCTTGGCAATAGACTGGCCATTTTAATTTCATTCATGTAGAATACCGTTTACAGTCACGTTTGGCGGGTTTAAAATGGTGTTTCACAAATCTGTCCAAGCTGAACTGGTCTAAAATACAAAGATGGAAACCACTGCGAACAGAACCTATTTAGACTAAACGCGGTCTTAACCCTGGACTTAATATTATCAGATGCATTGCCCTCACATGGATTGACATCTGCATCAATAGATTTCATCAGGTGGTTTGGCATTTTGAGTGTCGTTCATAGCTTCCCTTTCTGTCCTTTCTTGTTTGCAACTATATACACAGACTATTCTATGTCAGATTTGGGTCTAAAACTGCAATTCCCAAACCATTAAGCTCACATGAGTAGGTTAATGTTGTCTCTGATTGTTCTAGTCTGAAGACAGGCCCAAATCCAGACCAGGTCTCACATCTTCTGCTGTATTTTCATGTAAATGAATTAAGGCAGTAAAGATCAATCATTACATTGCACTAGAACTGCACCAATATTGAGGCTTATTATATTATTATTATTGTCTTCTCATTTGACAATACACCACTTCAGGCTTAATCAGATGCAGAGAATTTGACCTCTTTTTCTTTCTTTTTTTTCACATTGTACTTGAGTTTAGTGGTAGAGGGAGAACATGCAAACTCCACTCAAAAAGGCCCTGTTCTGATCGAGATTCGAACCCCGGATCTTCTTGCTGGGAAGTGAGAGTGTAAGCTTTTCGATTCAATTCAATTTTAATTTACAACACAACAGCTGTCGTCTCGCAGGACTTTACAAAATTGTCAATTCCTCAACAACAGATCAAAGAATCATACAGTTTGAACACAGGTGATAACACAGAGAAGCCATTGGTCCACAGGGAGCGGGACGACCACTCAGCCATGTGCCGCCCACTGACTCTCTATGGTCCTGATTAGGGCTGTAATTAACGATCTTACTGGAAATCGATTTTTATAGCCGTTTATTCTTTCAATTACTAGCAGGTTAGACACTGAAAGGAAAGTTGGGATTTTTTTCTACATTTGACCAAAACAAAGCTCAGTGATTCCCCTGGAGAACGTCCAGGACTTGTTACACATTGGGTTAAAAATACTTTGTAAACACCTCTCTTTCTGCAGCAATTCTAGAACGATCTGAGACATAAAACCTCTCCTCAGCATCTTTAAGTCTGTGGAAGGTTCAAAACACAATTAATCAATTACTAAAGTACTTAAATAATCGATTAGTTGAGAATAATGTGTTGTTTGCAGCCCTAGTCCCGACATCACATCGCACTTGTGAACAAACCCCGGGGTCCAGAGTTTGATGTTTGTGTGTTTTTATATACAGTACAGTATTATTGGGGAATAATAGAATATCATTCAAAAGTGTATTTATTTATGTAATTCACAACACTGAAAATGTGACACCAATACATGATATGAAGAGTTAATTTACAAAAACAAATAAGTAACATTAGAAAAAAGTAGTTTTGTGAAAAGCCAGATCTCTTTTAGTGCCTTACAAGTAAAGTTTAACCTCTTATCAGCAAAATCTTTCAAATGTTAATCTGGACATAACAAAATATGTTGGAGATGGGAGCCGGAGGAAGTGTTTGGAAAATGTTCAAAAACTGAGACATAAGTGGCATGTGTCAATTCTTTGTTTGTGATAATGTTGATGATTACAGCTTAAAGACCATTTTCAAAATATTCAACTTTCCAAATTGAATGACAGAAGTAAATTCCCGATATTCTAATATTCCAAGTTTCACAATTACCACCAATCCTCCAGAGAAAGACAGGGTGCCATAGTGTTATTTAGGATAGAATGAAATATTATAAAAAATCAATCAATTCCCTTTATTTACAAAACATACGTTTAAAAGTCCACACACGTTACTATTTCCTATAACCTGTGTGCTTTGTAAAAACTTTTTTTAACTTCAACTTTATTTTTGCCTATGTACCATAGAGCAAGGGCATCAAACTGGTCCCCAAAGGGCCCGTGTGACTGCAGGTTTTAGTTCCAACCTGCTCCTGCTCCGGATGGAACTAAAACCTGCAGCCTGTTTCTGGAACCGGTTTCAATATTAGGAGTGGACTGAGCACTGACGTCACCATAGAAACCGATTTGAGCATAAGCAGCTGGAGGCAATTTCCTTACATGGGTATTTATTCCAATGGCGTTAGTTTTGTGCCGTAACAAGTACAGATGTGTCGTTAAGATGGTTGCTAAAGCAAGATGAAGATTTTCCCACAAATCTGATTAGTCAATCCTGATATGACAATCTGGATTTACAAAGACAATATCACAATGTAAACACCAGGATCACAGAGAGCGATATACCACACATTTTTAAAGTCCAAAATAATAAGAGTGACACATTGGTCTAACTATTCTCCTCCAGCAGTTTTAAATATATGTATTATGAAAAATACTTAACTTTGATGAAACTTCAGGGTCATATGGTCCAAATGAAATACAATTCAAGTTGCAGACCTCCCCTTTAAGATAATGGTTTTTTGTTTTTTTTAGAAACCTCAAGATTGGGACAGGAAAATGTTCACTTGAAAGAAGAAATGTTTAGCTCGTTCCATTGACAAATCTTGTTTATTAAACAGAGGTAAATACTACTGGATTATAGAGCCTATTTACTGCCTAATATTTTATAATTGTTTGGAGTTAATGTGTGGGCTGAGGCTGAGGGCCAGATTAGATTGTTCTGAGGGTCTGGGAGGGGAATACGCCTGCTCTAGAACTGCATTCTAGGGGGCAGTTTACACGGAGACAATGTGGCAGTAAAACGCTATAGTTGGATGTCGGTTGCTAAAAACGAAATCGTGAAAACTTAAGTGTTCAGATCCAGCCTGCAGAGTGGGACAGCTCAGAAACGCTGCTCAGCGGGGCTCTATTTCACACCCGCGAGAGGGAAAAAGGTGTGAAATCCCTGTCTGCTCTGACCCCCATCTCCCCAATGCTCCCCGCACGTAAATTTGGACATGGGCAGTAGCGGAGAATAAACGTAAACAACAATGGCGGCAGGTACACTAACTAGCTTCGTGGGCTTCGAGTGCGGCACAGAGGATAATTCTACTCCTTCGTTCGTCCAAACGAGACCACGCAAAGCTCTAGTTTCAGTTTCCATTTTCACAGCTGATGTTAAAATGCAGAATGATGTTGGTGCCTTCTTACACGTCTGGCAGAGGACGTGAGTATACTGCCGGGGGGGGGGGGTTTCTCTGCCACTACTGCGCTAGAACTACATCGTTTTTGATCCTCGTATGTACGCTGTGAAATTTGCATTAGGAGCCTGGTCGTTTCTTTTAATAGCCTGGAAACGTCTGCGCAGCGTCTCAGTATAAACAGGGCCCTAACTGCTACTTTTGTGTGGCAATTGTGGCACTTGTGCTTCGTAGCAGCTTAAAGAAGGTCCTGGGTCTGATTCCACCTAAAAACATGTACAATCGTTGAGGGTTGAATGAGTGTGTGTTAGTGTGACTACAGATGGAAATGAGCTGCTTAGCTACACTCCGGTGTATTTACAGCTCCTGCTGTTCATTAATACACACTGTTCCATTCAAATGAACAAATAAATACAAATACAACAAAATTACTTAGCCCTGCTTTACTCTACTCTTTTACACTTTAGTGTCTGGTACCTGACAACCTACCCACAACAAACCAGTATCCGGAAAAAAAATCCTTTTCCACTCTGGCAAATCACTGTCAGTTAGAACACTTACAAACGCTCTCGAATAGAATAGAGTAGAGTAGAGTAAAGTCGGGTCAAGTAAAGCTGGTGGAAACGGAGAAGTCCTACAAACCAAGAATTTGGTTTGGTAAATGCTGCAGACAAGATATAAAATAGTTTTGTTTTTTTAAGAGTTGATAAAGGCATGCATCCAAAAAATCAAACATCCATCCATCTAATCCATTTCTGGGTCAGGGGGGTGGCAGTCAGAGCTGCACCCAGTAAACAGAGCACCAGCCCCTCACTGGTGGTGAGTCCACAGGAGCTTTGATCTTCTAGCAAGGGCTTCAGGCAAAGTGGGGTTAAGTGTCTTGCCCAAGGACTCAATGATACCAGATATCAGTGGGAGTCGTAAAGTAGGTCTTGTGGTGGGCTCGAACCCCTGACCTTCAGGCTCAAAGGGCAATGCTCTACCAACTGAGCCACTGTCGCCCCCTTAAAATTAAACGTTCATAATAAAACTAGAATATATAAATACACATAATAGACATTTAAAATTGCAAATAATGAATAAGAGTCCTGAGGTATGATATCATGAGAGCCTCGTGAGTCACATTATGCCTCTTTGGGCTGAGACCTGATTGACTTTTGTGGATGAGAAGCTGCTGGTTGTGTGAGCGGCAGAACAATAGGTGTAAATGTGCTGAGTGAGAGAATCTCTGCTTCCGCCGTCACCGTGAATGTGAAATACAACAATATTAGAAAGAGATGTGTGTGATCTGAGGAGAACACTGTAAAACTACACTTAACCCAAGCTTGCCTCGGGTTGAAGTAACTAGGAAAGAAATCTTTCAAGAAATCAATGAAAGCATCTGTACTGAATTAATCATATCACAACAAGGATTTATTTTCCCAAGAATACCATTTACACATATGTAGAATTTATCAGAATTATGATGTGTGTTTTGTTGTGGTGTATCTTAGTAAAATGTGAAAAGTGAAATTAACTAGTCTAAAGTTTTTTGAAACAATACTTCTCACTGTAAACGTAGAGTCTCTTGTATATGTCATTATTGAAGTATTTAAACGTTTCTGCTATAAATACAAAGTCTTTAAATCTGAACAGGAGATAAATTCACCAACAGCAGAGATAAATCTTTTCACCTGAACACAAATCAAAATCAACAATGTTTTCGTTTGTCAGATATTAATAATTATCAGTACTATATATATTCATTTATTGGACACCTACTGCACAGCTCTTAATAGTTCAGTCGACACTGGACAATAATCTGAGAGAATGAAGCTTCATAATAACCACAGAGAACATTAGCGCTTAGCTCAAGTTTGCTTTAGCTTAGCTCTAACATTTTCGTGATCCGTGGCCACAACAACCTGATATCCAGACGCACTTGAGTTCCAGTCTGATTTGTTCCTTATTTGATATAAATCCAGCTTTTGTTTGTGGAGTCGTTTGCTGCAGGGTCCCGTGATCTCTCTCCGGTGGTTTCCAGGTTAAAGAAGTGAGACTAGTGGGTTTATCATTTAGGGCCCACATAAGAAAAACAACATGGGACCCACACAGACGAGCCAAACTTTAGCCCATTTAGCATTCACACTTGGGTTAGGTTTGCCCAACTTAAGTCCAAGGCCAATAGACGTACCCACCTTTTTCATTTATTGAACATTTTCATGATAAAACTCGACATACGGTTTGATCAACGTAATAACATAGCAGTTTACATTTTCACTCTGCATGTCTGATCCCTCCACACTCCTCTCCGACCCTAAGGCCACATGAACACACTCTCACACACACAATCATGACCGAGTATGCTGCACAAATCTAAACACAGTAAGAAATACAAAAGAGAGTGAAGAACAAATTTAATTAAAAGTCAATAGAAGGCAAAGAAGAAAGAAAGAGGCGGAAGAAAGAAGAGAGAGAGAGAGAGAAAATAAAATCCAATAATTTAAATCCAATCCCCTTTTTTGCCCAAGTTAAGCCCATGTTCAATCCGTAGCCAGCTTGCCCTTACATACCCCACGCCGCTTTGCAAAATTTGAACTTGTGGGAATTGTGTATGAAGAAACCGCTTGTATTTGTATTTTTGCTCTGACCAAAATGAGACTTTTGAAACACACAGGATACCATAAAACAGAAATATCTCCGTGCAGCTCTAATACAAGCTGTTTAAAAGTCTGTCCGTCTTAAAACCAGGACTAAACTCTTGTTGTCGAAGCTTCCATTGCGACGTGCCTCCTCTCCTCCTCCTCCGCCATCATTCTGTCTGTGTCTTATCTTTGCTCCACAGATGCATGTAGCTTCCCCTACCCCTTTGGTCATGTTTGCACGTTCTCCCCTTCCCCTTCAGTCATGTTTGCTCAGGTCGCTGCGTGCTCCGGTCGGCGGTGGTCGTGGTGTGATGCGTTTGGGCTTGTGTTGAGGATGTGATGTGTGCGTTTGGACACGGTCGGTGCTTGGATCTTTATGCATCGTTTGCCTTGTCGTCTTTAGTTTGTTTTTCTGCTCTGTCTCTCTCTCGCACACACATCAGATCCAGCAGTAGAGCAGCTCTCGCTTCTACAGAGGATTTGAAGGGTTCTTTTGGAGGGTGGATTGGGTTGGACTCAGCGCGGTTCGTTAGGTTTTTCCTGTGAGATATCAGGAATTGAGGAGTTATTTGTATGCGGATTTGAATAACATGAATAATAGACTTTTCACAGCATGTTCTAGTGGTTTTCCCATTTCCTTTAATCAGTTTCCAGAGTTGGGCATGTGTGAGTTACTGCCAATTTTCACTTGTATACACACATATATATATATATATATATATATATATATATATATATATATATATATATATATATATATATATAAATATATATATATATATATACACTGCATTTTAAGTTACTTTCCCCAAATATATATATATAGATAATTATTATGCCTATGGGGCAACAGTGGCTCAGTTGGTAGAGCATTGGCCTTTAGGCCTGCAGGGTTTGAGCCCACCACAAGACCTACAGTACTTCACGACTCTCACTGATGACTGCTGTTGTTGTGTCCTTGGGCAAGACACTGAACCCCACCTTGCCTGAAGCCCCCACTGGAATATCAAGGCTCCTGTGGACTCACCACCTGCAGGAAGATCAGTGAGGGGCTGGTGCTAAGTGTACTGCCCCCCGACCCAGAAATGGATACATTTGAAGAAAATGAATGGATGGATGGATTAGGTTGAGAGAGGTTTTGGTTTTGCATTTATAGTGCACTTAACTGTTATATTTCACACATCTCAGATTCAGATTCAATTTATTTTAATTCAATATTCTTGTATGGCCCTAATTCACAACAGTAGTCATCTCAGAGGACAAAACCGTCCTCTGAAATTGGAACACAGATCAGAGAATCAACAGTTAAGACAGATTTGCAGTTAAAAACCACACAGGTTTTGTGTTTTAGACTTATTTGTTGCCTTTATTTTTTTCTGCATCTGTGACATGTATTTGCACAGTCATTTTAGCTTGAGGGTGAAACAATCCACTGATCTCTTTCTTGATCTGAGCGGAGTTTAAGACCAAATTTATTGACATTGAGTAAATGGGCAGAGCCATAAAGTAGGACTGAATACAGCAGTGAACAAACTCATCTCTGTTATTACATCATCATTCGATCTGCAGATCCCTAATAATAACACATATTTATCTGTAGCATATTAATACAGTGATGGTCATATTGGTGGGTCGCTGTGACATCAGTGCATTGTCAAGTGGCTTCTGAGGACGCATTAGTTGAGAAAAATCTTACAACTATATTTTACTAATCCACAGGGGTCAGAGATTATAGAGCAAGGCAAAAGCAAAACAAGTCTCTCAAAGATGGATCGATCAACTCTTTGCTTGTTGCCAGAGATTTGCAATGATGGAGTAAAAAATTGTATGTTTTGGATGTTTTGTGAAAATATTGATTATTTATTGAGATAAGTGAGTGATTGAGTGAGGGTTTTTGCATTCTAGGGGGTTCCATGAAGAGAACACAAGTCTGGCGTAACTATTTGCCTATTTAAGTCTGGATCAGGTTTAGTTGTCAGTTCTAATAGTCTCTGACATTATAATAACTGAAGGCATCTCAAAGACAGAGGATTGTTGACAAATGTAGTTTGTTGTTATAATCAGGGATGGCTGGTATCAATGGACTCGGTCCTCCCTGTAATTTTGTATGAATAAAAAGATATAAACATAGTGGTGAGTTATAATAATTCATAGAATAAGTAGTAGATTATTGTTATTGATGTGTATATAACGATTGTATTCATATTCATCTGAGGCTTCTTTTGCCAAACGGGGCCATTTTCCTGAGCAGTCTGTTGGAATTGACAGGTGCAAGTCTCGCCTCCCGCACAAGAATCTGGAAATTATTTTTTTGGGTTCTGTTGTGTCTGTCTGTTAACCAATTATTATTATAGATTAATAAATTATAACAAACTTAGCCACATCTAAAATTCTAAAAGCTTTGTCCATTCTCAAACCAAGTATCTATAAGTTTTCCCATCTCCCACAAAAATTTTAGGCATTTTATTAACATTTTACTTCCTGGTTGTAATATCATGACATCACACTCCAAATGCTATCCACAAAACAAGCATCTCAATGATATAGCCACCTCAAATATACAACTATTTGGTTAGAATTACACCATAAAGAAATCCTATGTGGTATGACTATGGGTAGCAACGTTAAGGGCGAGTTTGCATGTTCTTCCCAAGTCTTCGTAGATTTCCTCGAGGTGCTCCAGTTTCTCCTTCCTCAAAAAACATGTACAATAGGTAAAATCCTCCTGAAAAATCCAGAAGCCTCGAAACCTTGGGCTGTAGCACGGCGACCACTGCTCCTGACAGACGCCCAATTGACAAATTTCCCTATGGACAATTAAGTTTAACTTTAAATTTTATTAGGAGACCCCCCCCCCAACAGATTACACTGGAGGAAGGGGCAGATTTTGGATTAGACAGTGTGAATGTAAATGAATATGTATTTTGTTGAGTTAATTTCTGGTCTTTCTTTAACTCTCTTCATCTCATATCTTTGCAGTGATTGAAGACGAAAACGCAGTGGAGGACGCGCAGCAAAATGGAACAGAGAAAACTCCGGCGGAAGCTTAGACCGTGCACTGCCCAAACGTCCCCTGAACCGCCGTACCCCTAAACCCTGGCCCCCTCCGCCCCTCCATGACACCCCCCCCCCCCCCCCCCCCCCCCCCCCCCCCCCCAGACATTTTCTACCAGTTTGAATCCAAAGACACTGTACATAAGCACTTTTTCATGAGGCAGCAAGCGGCACTTCCACAAAACCTCCTCCGTCCAGGGACCCTGTCTTCGAACCGATCCACCCAACACGGACATTCTAACCAAGGAGACATGTTCTGCTTCAAGCGCCATTTTTAAACAACTTCAAATTCATTGTGGCATCGTTGATTTTTGTTTTATAACTCAAAACGAGAAGTATTCCAATGGGTCTCGCACTATGTTTACATGCGCTTAGAGTACGCAACAAGAGTTTTCCCATTAGAGTAAACACCAAAACCACTATATGCCAGACTCCAGTTGAAGATTTTTGGCTCAGAGACCTTTAACATCTCTTGTTTTGCCATTTTTAAAACACTCTGGACTAATAATTTCTTTGGTGATTGAAGTTTTCTTGCTTAAAGTTCCACTTAAAAATGCATTAACTGTTAGCGGTAAAATTGATCGAGCGTAATGGACAACCTTGACCAACACCTCTTAGTTCCCTATTTTTAGCTATTACATTTGGATTGTGACTGGGTGCAGCTCTGACTGCCACCCCCCCGACCCAGAAATGGATTAAGGGGAAGAAAATGGATGGATGGATGGACATTTGGATTGTCTTGCTGCTTTTATGGATCAAGCAGACTATAATATTACTGCAAATTTTGACAATAACTACGTCTCTATTTTGTTTTATAACTCAAAATTACAAAAGTATTCTAGTGGTTAAAGAAATCCACATTTTTACCATGCTAACTTCTATATGTATACAATTTAAAGAGAGATTCTAAATACAATACTTTTGCAATTAGAGAGGCCTAAATAATAATGCTGTATTCATTCGTAGACACCACGACAGATAAATCAGACTGTGATTGGACGATTAGCGCAAGCTATGCATTTAAATATGGCATCTTTCATATTACATTATTTGAAAGCTTGGGTCAGAGGTGGGGTGGCTACAATAGGGAACTCAAAAGGTTTAAAAGGGAAAAATCGCTAACTACTAAAACTGAGATAGAGGAAAACTGTTTATGTGCAGAGATGAATCCAGCGGTGATTTGTGGACTCTGAGGACACAGAGGACCACTCCAAGATTGAATTTCAACGCTTTCTTTTCATACACGGACAAGGCTTCAAGAAATCGGAATTACATACGCTACAGTTTTTGACAGAGATTTTAGAACATGGCCGAAAGACACACAACTTTCTTTAGCGCACAACATGTCTCCTTTGACATCAATCCAGTTCTTTGGCCATAGCAATGTGCATTTTCTTGGGAGTTCCAACATGGAGGAAGAGGAGGAAACAAGAGCAGCTGTTGGAAAATGCAGAAATCAGGGACAGGAAAAACTATCTTTAAAGCACACAAATGTATCAATCAAAAGGTTCTTATAATCGTCATTTCGATGGAGCAGCGTGTACATACTTACAGTATGGAAAAGGTAGCCCATATTTTATTGCACAGAAGTTGGACCGATGTTTTGTGAAAATATTGATAATTTATTGAAGCAAATGAAGCTAGAGGAGTGATTGAGATGAGTGAGTGAGATTTTTCATGTTCCGGGGGCGTTCCATGAAGAAAACCCAAAAAGTCTGGTTTAACTATTCTTATATACGATTTGAAGTCTGGGTCAGGTTTAGTTTTCTTGTAGTGATGATGTAGATTCCGATATTAAAGCTTGTT